GCATAGTGGGGGAAAGGGGGTGGGACACTGAAGCCAGCGTGTCCATACCGCAGACCTCAGTGCATAGTAACAAAAAGTGAATTTGTCACACACATTGGAATGAACTGTCCCAAACTTTTTAGGGAATGTCTCTATTAAAAAAAAATAATTCCCAAACCCAGAACACAACCAAGTGATGTCAGTATCAGTGAGGGGGCTCGCTGATGTCACACCGCTGGACAGGAGGCAAGTAGCATTCCTCTTGAAGTTATTACTGTACTAGAATCCGATAATCAGCTAATTAAAATGTATTATGCAAAAAATAAAAAGATTACATTTGATGCAGTCCGTCACTGGCATTATCGCAGTTTGTGTTTATCTAAGCCCCCATTTAACAGTCCCATTATTTGTTGATACTGCCAGTAATCTGTTTTTTCCAATTCCTGTAAAAGCCAAGCAAATTTGGGAGTTACAGGGTTGGGGAAAAAACAAAACATTACTGTGGTGTGGGTGCTTACAAGTCACCTTTAATTCAGATAGTTTAAAGCTGATCTATTTAACAAGGTACAATTCAATGCAGCTCTGTAATCATTAGAGCAATAAAATAGGATTTTGTTCTTACTGTAAAATCCTTTACTCAGTCCATTGAGGGACACAGCTCTCCGAGAAAAGGATTTTACGGTAAGAACAAAATCCTATTTTCTCTATTGTCCATTGAGAGGCACAGTACTGAAGAATTCTGAGACATAGGGATGTTCAAAAGTAGTCCAAACAGAAGGGCAGGCACCACAACTTAAGCACTAAGTCAACAAAAAAATTAACTGTCAAAGTACACTTAAACAGCTGCCTGAAAAACTTTTTTTGCCAAAACTAGCATCAGAAGAGGCAGAAACATCAACTTTAACCACTTGCTGACCGGGGTGTTAAACCCCCTTCCTGTCCAGGTCATTTTTCAGTATTCAGTGTTGTGGAACTTTGACATTTATTTAGTCATGCAACACTGTACTGAAATTAATTTTATACAATTTTTTTGGTAACAGATGGAGCTTTCTTCTAGTGGTATTTAATCACCACTGGGGTTTTTATTTTTTACTATAGTGAGGAAAAATTACCGAAGATTAAAAAACCAAAACTGTTTATTATTGTCGCGTGCTGGTGCACCTGACGCGTATTTAAAAAACCCTTTATTTACGGCAACCCGCCAATGGGAGCTTGCCGCCTGTCCGTTATTTTTTACAAAGGGGCGGACGGCAAGCAGTTAAAAAACAGAATCTCTGTTCTCCCCAAAAAAACAGACTGTGCATGCGCAGTAGATAAAAAAATAAGTGTGCCATCAAATCAAAGTCAAGTCCTCAAAGACGGGGCAGGAAATATAACCCCTTCGTAACAGGAGATGAGTTATATCAGGCTTTGTAATGCTGGTAACAGCTGATTCTCAGCAGTTATCAGTGATTAATGAATGCCTCAGTATTGAGGCATTCATTAATGAAATAATCAAGCTTTTTGTAAAAGCTTCTTCCTTTCATTAATGAAAGAATGAAACCGCAATTTGCGATCCTGTATTTGACTCACCTCTCTGCTATGTGTTTTGACAGCTCGAGAGCCCGATGTTTAGAATCATTTCACTCAAAAGATACAATGTATATCTTTGGAGTGAAATGTATCAGTTCTTATCGTCTAGGCACGATCAAAGAGCTTTTAGGGAGATCACACAACAAAAGAGAAATAAAAAGGGGGGAAAATACCCACACTTTTAAACATTAGGTAAAACACAATTTTTAAAATATCCAAAAAAACTATTTTTTAGTCATGACTCCCTGGCCCTGTTCCCAACATAACAGAAAATCCCACATACTATTACAGGCCTGACCGTTAAATGACGAAAACAGGAACACAGGACGTAGCATAAGTACAGAGACCAAAAACCTGCTTCATGACCGCTAGAAAACTGTCAAGATTGAACTTATTTGGCATGAATCTCTCTGTTTTGTCGGCTACATAGAGACTCCCAGGATTTGATAATATCCGGTATGAATCAACCAACAGCACTTGGTAGAATCAATAAAGAAACAAAATAAACGAATAAAGCGTAAGATGAGAAAGCCATTCTGAAGCCACTAAGCAAAACTGGAAGGTGTAAGATGGGAAGGATTATGTCCTTAAAATGACAGGTTTTTAATTAATTTGCCTAGTGTCCATTTCTCATGAAGGCAACAGCATAACCCTATATCTCAGAATCCTTCATAGCGGTGCCCCTCAATGGAGACTAGAGAAATGTTTTGTTATTACTTACCGATAACGGGATTTCTCAGTCTTCCTGGACAGCAACCTGAGAGATGATTGGCTCCTCCTTCAACAGGAAACAATTAAAAAATAGTTAAATATCCTCCCACCCCATCATACCTCAGTTGTGACCAAAGTATACTACCTCCCAAAACTCCAAAGATAAAAACATACCCTTACATCAACAACCATATGAAATATTCAAAACCAGGGTGGGAAGTAGGCTTGCTGTCCTGGAAGACTGAGAAATCCCGTTATCGGTAAGTAATAACAAAACATTTCTCCAATCATCTTCCAGGCCAGCAACCTGAGAGGATAACCAAGCACACCCCCAGCAAGCCTACCTTCTTAGGGCGGGACCACAGCATGAAGCACTTTTCGGCCAAACGTGAGATCCTGTTGCGACAGCACTATACACGATAATGCTTCACGCAAGTATCCTGTCGCCACCAGACTGCTGCCTTGCAAATCTGGTCCACCGATGCCCCAGCCTTCTCTTCCCAAGATGTCGCTAGGGACCTAGTGGAATGTGCCTTAATGGAGAGGGGAGCCTCTCGCCCCTCTGATTGATAAACTGGCTAATCCACCTGGCTAAGGTGGCTTTAGATACTTGCAATCCCTTCCGGGGACCCGCAAATAAGACCGAGAGATGACTAGACCTCCTAAAAGGCCTAGAGTCCTTCAAATATTTAAGCAGGCACCTTCACACATCTAACGTATGAAAGGTCTGCTCTTTCAGATTCCTCAGGGCATCACAAAAAGAGGGAAGCACAATCTCTTGGGACCTATGGAACTGGGACGCCACCTTAGGCAAATACAGAGGATCTGGCTTCAAAATTACTCTTATCAGGCAAGATAAGTAAATAGGGTTCCTTAGTAGAAATAGCCTGGAGATCCCATACCCTTCTAGCTGATGTTATAGCTAAAAGAAAAAACATTTGTAAAGTTAACCATTTCATGGCCACCTCCCCTATTGGCTCAAACGGTGGTTTAGAAAGACCACCCTATATCAAGGATAAGTCCCATGGAGGGAATGACTGATCACTTAATGGACGGGTACGCTCTGCAGCTACCAGAAACTGCTTCACCAATGGTTCGTCTGACAATTTGGACTCTAGAAATACAGAAAGAGCCGAAACCTGTACCCGCAGGGTACTGATTGCTAACTTCCTATCCAGCCCATCCTGCAAAAATTCCAAAATGACTGGAACCGAGGGCGAGACAATATTCTTGCGCCCACACCAAGAGGAAAACACCTGTAGCAGTGCCGGAGATCTGGTTCCGCCCTGGTGGTTGATATAAGCCACCATGGTGGAATTGTCTGAAAGCACCTGGATCTCTTTCCAGACTAAGCTTTCTTGAAACGACCTCAGCGCTTCCCTTACTGCTGTCAATTCTCGGTAATTGGACAAGGCGTCCGACAGACAGCGTGGCCATGCTCCCTGAGCCTGTAACCCCGACATATGGGCTCCCCAGCCCCGAGAACTGGCATGGGTGGTGACATGAATGGGTTCCGCCTGACCCCACAGCCTGCCCTCCAGCAGCCTTTCCCAGAGAGGCCTTCCCACAGGGACAGAAGGCAGGGACCCACAGGGACAGAAGGCAGGCCTCTCTCGATCGGAGAGTGGAACTCCCAAGGGAGGCTTCAGGTCCAGGGTGACCATAAATATTGACCTTGGGAGAACCCTTCAGAGTAAATACTCTCCATCCTGAAATTCTTGAATCTCAGGAACTGATTCAATCTTTTTAAATTCAAGATCATCCTGAACCTGCCTGACTGTTTTGGCACCAGAAAAACATGGGAGTAAAATCCCTGAAACTGCTGCTCCTTTGGTACTGGCAAAATTACATTGTGTGAGGCCAGGTGTTGTATGCACTCTAACAAAGCCTGTGCCCTTACTGGTTCCCTTGGCAGAGTGGTCACCAGGCTGGACCAGAAACTCCAAAACGATAACCCCCCTTAGAAGATCCAAGACAAAGGGACTGCTCGAAATTTCTTCCCAATGGGAAACAAACTGGGACAGCCTTCCCCCTACCTTCGTGATGGCGTCACTTGGGATCATTGTTTGCTGCCTCAGGAGCTGAGAACAGCAAACCCCCCTTTTGCTTATTTTTGTTAAAGGACCAGCTGCGCTTCTGAAACTGAGGTTTGTTGGGTTGTTTCCTCTGCTCCTGGGAGGGACGAAAAAAACATTTATTACGAAACCTTTTCTTCTTCTCTGGAAACTTCTTACCTTTCTCAGAGGATCTGGTTAGGACCTCATCCAAGCCGGGCCCAAACAACAAACCCCCTTCAAAAGGAAGACAGCAGAGACGTGACTTTGATGTAACATCGCCCTCCCAGGACTTCAACCAGATAGTCCGTCTGGCTAAATTCAATAGGGCCCCTGCTCTCTCCACTGAGGCATCCGCCAAATAGGCCACCGCCTTCCCGAAGTCTGACAAAGATTCCAAGACCTGCTCAGCCGGAGCTCCCTGAGAGACATGTAAAGAAACATGCTCCAGCCAAAGGTCCATATTGCGCGCCATGCAAGTGGCTGCCATGGCTGGCGCTAATGAGGCTGCATTAGCATCCGAGGCCCTACGGAGCAAAGCCTCTGCTTTCCTATCCATCTGATCTTTAATAATACCCGCATCTTGAAAGGAAAGATCAGCCTTCTTAGACACCTGGGCCAACGCCGCATCAAGTCTAGGACATTTGAAATATTTTTCTTCCTCTGTTTTAGAAAAGGGGAACCTCCTTTTCCAGGACCTAAACCCCCAAAATTTCCTCTCTGTCTCCTTCCACTCACCCTCTACTAACTCCTTCAGAGACTGGTGAACTGGGAAACACCTACCCTGTGCCTCTACTAACCCCCTATACATGCGATCTTGTACTGACACAGTCTTGGGGGCATCTGGAATCTGTTCCGTGGCATAAATAGCCTGCAACAAAAATTCCATATCCTCCAATGCAAATAAATGCCGGGAAGACCGGGAGTGCTCGCCCTCCTCCCTTGTCTCTCCTTCCTCCCCAGAATCTTCTGAGGTGGAAGCCGAAGCTGAATCACTCCTATCCACTGCTCTGTCTACTTTTCTGAATAATCCCCCTCCCGACTGTAACCTGATGGACCGGGCAACTCCCAGCCCTCCAAGGACACAGTGGAAGCAGGTACTACCTCAGAAACGACAGGCTTAAGTGACTGCATTGTCAGTAATTCCGACTTCATGGAATCACAAAAACTCTTCATTAAAGTGGAGGATTCAGCCACTAAACACTTATAAAAACAGACCTCACAAAAGTTTTTAACATAATCAGGAGGGAGTTTAACGTTGCAGTTACCGCAGCACTTTCTACATTGTTTAGAAGCTGCGGCAGCCGGTGGAACAGAACCCAGGGATGTGGCTTTCTCCGCAGGAGAAGCATCCTAAGCAAATAAGAGAGAATCAGCCTCAATATATGCCCACTAGCAATCCCCAAAGTCCCACCACCACAATGCTGGCTCCCACAGAGCAAAAATGCAGTACTCACCGCACCCTTGGCCCTGGAAGCAGCAGTCGGCCTGCCTTTATCCTCCATCTGGTTTGCAGAGCCTTCTATTTCCCCCAAAGACTGTTCCGACAAGCCTGTTCAGCCACGAGCGGCATCCACGGCGTGCATCTGCAGAGAGGCGTGCAGCGGAAGAGACACTGCGTCGGCCGCCGGAAGTGACGTCACCGCCGGAGTGCTGGAACGCAGACACGCCTCCCTTTGCGTTCCACACGCCGGCTCCCGCCAGTCCATGGCGTACAGGCACCTCAACGGCTGTTAGAGCCGACCCGAACAGGGCGCAATGGCCGGGGAACTTCAGGGCTCTTCCCACCCCAGAGTTTGCGTGGACGAAAAAGCCCTGGAATCTGAAGAAAGGGAACCCCCCTGCCTACACAGCAAGGTGAACGGCCATGAAGAGGACCTGAACACAGAGCCGCACAGAGGGGAGACCCGCGACCACAAGGCCGACCGGTCAGAAGAAAAAAACAAACGAGGTTCCTGGAGGGTTGGAAACACAAAGAAACTGAGGTATGAAGGGGTTGGAGGGTATTTAACTATTTTTTAATTGTGCTTCCTGTTGAAGGAGAAGCCAATCATCTCTCAGGTTGCTGGCCTGGAAGATGATTGGAGAAATAATGCATCTATTGGCAGGATAAATATCCATTAAAACAATGTTAGAGGGAGACTAAGAAAAGCAATGTTTCTTGCAGTGACAAACTGCATTATATGTCATTTTTTGTATTATGCTCAGTGTTAATTAATGGCTGAAAACCAGTCTTAACATCACTGACCTAGCAAAAATAAATTTGAACCAGAGGATCATGACAACCTGGAACACATGCACAGCACCATTACATCAATGTGCATGATAGGGAGAACAATGTTCAGATTTTCAATGCAAAGCAGTGTTTTAAACAAATAACTTAAAAAAAAAACCAAATATGTGGAAACAATGGATCAAGGTTGCCCCAGCCAACACATCTATAGGTAGGAATTTGTACATAACTAGGTGTTTTAAAGCAGAGGTTAAACTAGTTTCAAAAGAAACACATTATGAGAGAAACATTGAGGCTGTCATTCCCTTACTGCTCTTCTTAAAAAAATACTAGTTGCCTGGCTGATACGTTGACCTCTTGCTTCAATGAGCTCTAACTTTTCCAATTTGCATACTTGTTCAGAGCCATTGATTTAGAAAGCGTTAAAGACTGAAAATCACCATTTCAGCCAGACAAGTAGCATTTCCCAGGACATCAAATAAGTGCTTCGAAGCAGCTTCATTGAAGAACAACGTTATAAATTGAATAAAACTGAATTGGTAAAGGAGTTGCAGGAATACTATATGAAGCAGCCCAATTCAACATTCTAAAAAACTAGTCAACCCTTCCAGGTAAAAGTCCTACATCATTGATTCACATATTGAGCAAATCATACATCCCTCAACAATTACAAAGTTACACATGAAGATACATTGAACCTGCAATAAATCATGAAATTTAAAGCCTTGGTTGCTTAGATTCAGAGTTGAATAATTTGTTTGTACAAAATAGAGATATGCATCACGATTTGCCAGATAAAAGTTATAGAATTTGCAAATCAACCTAGTCATCTCTGGTTATAATATCAATATAGGAACACACCTTTGACTTAACACAGAACCATATACTGCTAAAAATCTCACGTTAGCCTGAATTAATGGAATGTAAAATAGAAAAGTTGTATAGGTTACTAGAACTGCACAACAGAAAAAGCTCTGGGCCCACAGAGCACAGAATACTACAGGCCACTGTAGAGAAAATCACAAGACCTGAAGTTTATCTATAACTGAGTAAAACGTCTATGAAAAGCTATATCTAGCGGTGTTAGACTTGCCAAGCATAAATTATTACTAACAGGTAAAAAAAACCAATCCATTCATGTAGAAGTGGGTTGTTCCTAGCAAAAGATAAAGCTCACGTTCTTGTGTCACCCAATGTGCTAAAGATTTGCAGATCAGATCAAAAATTTCAAATCAGTGCAACAAATACATTTAAGACAAAATATTTAGCACAGGAATAATAGATGTATGTTAAGTCAATCTACTCCATACTTACCTTTGACACTGCAAAGGTTTAATGCAAAAGCCTACATAATACTTTGAAAAAACAGAACATTCTAAAGTCCTTCTGCAGTTGGACTTGAATATATAAATAATTAAAAAAAAAACTGCTACACCACAGGTGTAATGAGACTAAACAATCACTCGGGATGTTAATTTAGGGCATTTCACTGCAGTGAAAATATAGTAAATACACTGCTAGCATACATACTCCCATATAGGTCTGTCCTGCAGCAGCGCAAACATTTTAGGTCAGTTGCAATTAGACTTTACCTGCTGCACCCCTGTTGGTAAAAGGGATGGAAATGAAGAAAATTCACCCCTTTATATGAGAATACAGCACTGCTTCTCTCAAACAAACCCTGTGTTTTAGTAACACTTATTTAAAATGAAAACTACTTACTGGGGCTAATGACAAAAAGAATCTGCTTAAGACAGATGGCTTACTACTCCAGTGAAGGCATCTGAATACCTCCTGCTAAGACTTCAGGTTAAAGTGACATTAAACCCTCAGATTTTTTAACATAAAACTTGTTTTGCAGCAGACTGCCTTGTCTCTGAAATGGATACATGGTGTCTGTGTGTAGGTTTGCAACCTGTGCCAGCACTACAGGAAGAGGCACTCAGCTGCAAAGGGAAGTTCTCCCCAAGCACGAGAAGAGATAAGGATTTAAAAGGAAGAGCAGCAAAGAGAAGGGAAACTACCATGGATTACAGTAAGGCACACATTACAGTATTGTTTTATGTTAAAAAATCTGAGGGTTTAATGCCACTTTAATCTTTTAGCCATGTTAACCCAGATTTACATCTCTCAGCAATTATAAAATTAGGACATAAGACATTTGTCTAATGTCTATATAGGGCACCTGTCTTTTCATAGTAAAACCCTCTACACTAAGTCAAGTTAAACATAAAAGAGAAGGGGGAAGCTGAAAAAAGGTTTGATTAAGGACACCAACATGCTGGGCATAACATACGTTTTAATCATGGCCTTAATGGCTGCCTTCCTCTCCCTTTCTGCAAACTTGTCGATCAGATACCCAGACATTCGTGGTGCGTCTCTATAAAGCTTGAAAAACCGGTGATAGTTTGATAACGCCCAAGCACTCCTAAGAGCCAAAGCATGGCCAACACAAGCATCCTCTTTCATCTCTCTGGTCAGGTACGCCATCTCTGTAGTTATATCTGTAGATAGATGAGAAATGAAGCTAAGACTGTGGGGCATGTAAAAAACAAACAAAAATGTAGGGTATGCAGGTTTTAAGCCTTATTAAATTTCCTACCTCCAGAGTTTTTAGTGAAAATATAATACAATATACGATAGGCTGTAAACTCTCCAATGTTCCCAGCAAGATTCTCAGCATACAGAGACTTTAGCTGTGCTTGACACTGGTTAAATTCCTCATGGTCTCCCTGAAAATTTCAAATTAAACAGTTGCAGTTAATTTGTAAACAAGCTACTTATATGTACTACATAGCTTATCTCCTTAAACAGCGACATAATGTGAGCAGAAAAAGCTGGCTATACATATTACAATCTACTTTAGATTTGCTAACAATCATGCAGTAAAATGGCCCATAAAAATAGTTTAAGTAGGTGCTTTAAAATCAAAGATTGTTGGTAAATCTAAAGCTCACCATACACATTAGGCCTCGTTCACACCAGATACAGTGCGTTTCGGGCCGATTCTGACCAGAACGCACTGCCTCGCATTGCGGCCGGCTCACTTTTTTGTGGGGCAGGAGGGGGCGTGGTGGTCCATTGGAGTGAATGGCACCGTAGACACGCCCTCTCGCTGCAATGCAATCGGCCGCACGGGATCACAAGGCACATTGTGCCTGCGGTCCGGTCCAATCAGAATAGTGCTTGCAGCATTTTGTACGGACCGGACCACAGACCGGATGGCCAGAACGCACTGCATCTGGTGTGAACGAGGCCTTAAGGTAGGTCCTTTTTTTAGTGCATTTAAAATTGATTATACAAAGATTGTAGTCAGACTAATGTCTACGGTGACCCTAAAAGGTACAGATTGAAAATCAGATATCCACACAACCAAATGTAAAACTAGAATACTGTACCACCAAGCTCAGAGGACCAAGTTTTTTTCCCCACCATGCTGGAATGGGATTCTAATATTTGTAGGGTGCAGCAAGGCCAGGACATCAAAATAGATAAAACAGAATAATGGACGTGCACTGAAAGATATGATAATTCAGATTTTGCAAATGATATGAATGTAAATCACGACTACAGTGTGAAGTACATGGATCTGGAAATCTATCCTCAAGTTCCTGGATGCAGATGTTCAACATTAGAGAAATATGAGGAATTTAAACAGAGATGGGAATGGAATTTTGACATATGTAGTCGCAATATGATGTTACAATTTTGCAAATAATATGGGGACGATATCTGGAGGGTTAAAAATTATATACAGTAATACCTTTGGTTTACAAGTAACTTGGTTTGAGAGTGTTTTGTAAGACAAGCAAACATTTCTGAAAAAAATTGCCTTGATATACAAGCAATGTCTTGCAATAAGAACAACATTTTGTAGAAAAGCACCACCCGAATAAGGCTGTAGCAGTGCGAGCGATGAGTCTTTTAAACGACAATGCAATGTCACATTGGATTCCTTGTTAAGGTTTCACAAAATGAAAAAGATTCCATTGAGTCAAGGGATAGCAGTGATTCTGTTAGTGATAGTGAAAGTCGTCCTACACAATAATCCTCCTCTCTCTCGTCCCCCTCACACCAGCCACGAAGGTACCGGTAATTGTAATCATTGTTATATGAATATTTTTGCGTTGTGGAACGAATCATCTGAATTTCCATAATTTCCTATGGGGAAATTCGCTTTGATATACAAGCGGTTTGGATTACATGCATGCTTCCGGAACGAATTAGGCTCGTAAACCAAGGTATCACTGTATAGGAATTGCAAAATACCCTGGAAAGGTATAAATGCGACGGTAGGTTTGGATAACTAGAGTTAAACACCTACATAGAAGGTCTTAATACTCTGCCTTGCAGCACTGGGGGTCCCCGGTTCAAATCCCATTCAGGACACTATCTGCAAGGAGTTTGCATGTTCTCCCTGTGCTTGTGTGGGTTTCCTCCCACACTCCAAAGACATGCTGTAAGGTTAATTGGCTCCTGTCTAAACTGGCACTGTGTGTATACATGCGAAATGGGAACTTAAGATTGCAAGCTCCTTGATGACTGATGTGAAAGTGCACTATGTAAAGTGCTGAGTAAATTGTCGGCGCTATATATAAACACCAATAATAAAGATCTCATTAACCCCTTCATGACTGAGGCCCTTTTTTCATTTTTTGCACCCATGTTATATTCCACATTTTAGGCCTGAAAATGACGTAAAACCCCCAGGAATAAAACTGAACGAGTTAAGAAAGCCTTTGAAAATGGCAGAGTGTACAAATGGGAGAAGAGATCGAAAAATAAAAATGGCTCAAAGGGGCAGTAGTAACATTCATAAAGGAATTATTGCCTGAAGTGGAGGATCACAAACTTGAGCTAGACCAGATCCACAGGGCCCTCACGGCTATGAGAGGGATGTATTGGTGAAACCTAATTTTTTTTATACCAAGGAGCAAGTCATGCAATGTGCCAGGGAAAGGTCGGGACTTACTATACTGGGTCATTCTATCCAGATTTTTGCGGACATATCTCCAGCTACAATTCAAAAAAGGCATAATTTGAAACCTTTGCTCCAGGTTTTATCCTCCAAGGGGATTAAATATAGATGGGCATTTCCTTTTTGTTTATTATTCTCCTTCAGGAATGAACCATGCAATATCTCTACATATTCTGAAGGAGAAACTTTGTTCCATCAGTTGGGACTATTATCTAATGACCCTAAAGTCGTGCCCCCTGGCTCTAGCAGCCCTCCAGGAAACAAGCCGCCCGTCCTCTTTTGCCCATTTGGCATAAGATTATTGTCCCCTTCTAATCTCTCAAGCTGAAGGGGCTTACTGGAACGAATGTATATCTCAAATTGCAAATGCTCCTGGAGGGGAGACTTCCTGTTAATGTGGATGCAACTTGTAACATGTTTTGTATATTTATATATATATTCCCCCTAGTATTTTTTAATATAATTCTATGAACAAAGGAGGGGTGGTCGACCACGCTAGGTAGTCGTGCGCCCAGACTTGGCCCTCTGAGATTTACGTCAAGTCCTGTTTTGACTTTTGTCAATACTCTGGTTATAGAATCGGATCTGGGATGGATTCCCCGGTCTTTTGTTTCATGTCTTTTGTAGGCCGGCTCATCTACTTGGTCGGCTTTTTTCCTTTTATCTTGCTGTGGTGTTTTTTCTTTTTTCTATTAGTAATTAGAGTTCTCTTTTTACGTATTGGGGTTGTTTCCACATCTTATGTCAATACAACTTGAAGCTTAAATGGCCAGGATATCAAGGGGGAGGGGAGTATGCTCCGCGCTGCCTTACCAAACAAGCTGTTATGGTGCCCCCTACTAAATCAATCTTATTTGCTTCCCATAATGTTCGAGTTTTAAACTCTCCCATAAAGAGGAAAATGGCTTTTCAATATTACTACTCAACGGGTGGCTATTTTTACAAGAAACCCATTTTTCTATAAGTTATCAACCTAAATTTCTAAATAAATATTACCCACAATTCTATTTGGGCAATGCACCCCATGCAGACTAGAGGAGTTGCCATTTGTTTTACTAAACATATGTCCTTTAGACATCTAATGGAGATCAGAGATCCAGAGGGTCGCTATCTTATGGTAAAAGGTTACCTAGAATTAGGGCCAATTCGGCCCAGGTGTAATTTTTTGCTTGTATGTGGCAAACTTTAATGCCCCATGTTGAGGGGGCGGTAATATACGCGAGAGACTCTAACCTCGCCTTGGATAGCAGTTAAAATGGTGCTTGTAGAACCAAACATCCTTCGAAAGCTAGTAGGTCACTGGCAAAATTATTGAATCTGTACTCTCGGGTAGATATCTGGAGGGAGTTAGATCCCTCGGTTAAAGAGTATACATACTTCTCACAGGTGCACCTTAGTTATTCTAGGATAGACCATTTTTTTGTTGGGATCTCACTGGTACCCTTAGTGCTATTTTCAACTATTAGAGAGACAGCATGGTCGGATCATTCAATATTGGTGATGGGTTTGTCAAGGATAGAAGATGTTAATAGACCATGCTATTGGCGACTGAACGAGTCTCTCTTAAGTGACCTGGTAGCACAGGAGGAGATTCGCTCACATTTGCAAGCTTACTTTAGTTCTAAAGGTAGCCCCTGACATGTCACCTATTATGGTTTGGGCAGCTCACAAGGCTACAAATCGGGGTCGATTTATTGAACTGGCTACTAGATATAAAAAAAGAATACCCAAGCGCATAAATGAGCTAGACTTGGAACTTCAACAGCTTACTCGAGCTCATAAACATAACCCATTACCAGGACTTTTGACTTCCATTGGTAAAATCCAGAATTAAATTTAATTCTGATTGAAAACTAGAGCGGAAAAAAGTATTCGCTGGTCTGATAATAAATTCTATGCCCATCGAGATAAAGTAGGTACTCTCCTGGCCCGTAAATTGGCCCCTAAATCCCGAATATACTCCACACCTAAAATACGCTGTGCTCATTCTATACTAAGCTCTATCAGGATCAAACCCCAGTCTCTCCGGATGCATTAAACGCATTTCTGGATAATATAGTCATACCGCACCTATCTTTAGATCATAAAAAGATAATGGAGGAACCTATTACGGTTCTCAAAATCAAAAGAGCAATTAAACAAGCGAAGCTTTCATCTGCTCCTGGCCCAGATGGGTTGACAGCTCTATATTACCAGAAATTTTCAGAGGTGTTGGCACCACACCTGGAGACGTTCTTTAATGAATTGCGGAGGGGGAGCCTTAGACAATGACCTCAACAGGGCTTTTATTACCGTTATCCCTATACCAAATAAAGATCCTGGGGAAGTATAAAATTATCGGCAAATTTCCCTAATCAATAATGATCTAAAGCTCTTGACTAAAATATTAGCTAATAGGCTTAATTCTTTCTTACCCCCTTATATACATAGGGATCAAGTGGGCTTTATGGTGGGTCATCAGGGTGCTGATCAGATACGGAGGGCGATTTATATTGTGACTGCATTGCGCTCAAGCTGGGATGGTACTCCTTCCCAGTCTGGGATGCTTGTGTCCATTGACCTACAGAAAGCGTTTGATTCGGTGTCTTGGCATTGTTTCCTCTCTTAGAGAGGTGGGGCTTTGGCCCATCCTTTCTGAGAGTGTTGAGAGCACTGTATAATAACCCCTCGGCGCAAAAAAAGATGCAAGGATATCTATCAGACTTCATCCCCATCTTCCAGGGCACTCGACAGGGATGCCCGCTCTCTCCATTA